AGGACATGCAGCTGAGCTTCTCCTACTGATGTCTCTAAAGCAAGATCCTGCAGATAGAAATGATGAAATATCCATTGCCCCAGTGCCCTTTTAAAACAAAAGTTCCTTAAATGAGTTCTTGTGGGCAATTTTTAAGGCTTTATTAATGCTTTCCAACGTTAAATAGAAACGTAAGTCCCACTAACCATCTTAAAGGCCTACCTAGTGCTAGATTGGGGTTGTCTGGTCTTTAGGGCATTGCAGCGTAAGTTTAACTGACCTTAAAAAGATGAAACATAGTTTCGTCATTATTCAAATAGGCCCCAAATTCCGATTTAGCAGGAAGGGCAAGTACAAAGCCCCACTCCTCCACACTCCTCCAAAACACAGAGATCAAACTTGAGGTCGTAACGCTGTGGTTGCAGGGGCTCATGGCTTGCAAAAGCGAGGCTGGAAGAGAAGCAGTGGGGGCCATGCGCAGGGAACTGGAGGACTCTGCATAAAAGCCAGGCTATTGATTTTTATAAAACCCAGCATCACCTTTGATACTCTGTTAAAGTTACACTAACGGGTTGCTGGCACAATTTCCAGCAGGATAATTGCAGCCGCAGTCTGAGTAATGTCTACGTGCTTTCGCCTTGCAAAGCGATCTCCCTTTATTGCAGAGAGGTTGAATGAAAAATGAAGGCACTGACTTCTTCCTGGTTCGATATCTGGCATATTTTCCATATCTACTTTCTGTAAGCCTTTTTTTTTTTTTTTCTGAAGGGCTTCCTAATGGAGAAGCTGCTTTAGCACCAGGAATGGCGACACTTGCCAAAGGCAACAACATTGCTTCCAAAAATGCATTACGTTCTGCCTCTCCAGTAAATAAAATGTTGTTGCGCTTGTTGTTCACCCACTGCTTGGAGGCAGGGCTGTAAATGAAGGGACTTGCTCCTTTGCAACGCTCTGGGATCGGTGTTTCTGGCAAATGCTCACCCATTCTTACAGCTGGTCTTGTACTTGCTCTAAGCACATAGACTGGATGTGCATGGAAGCTATGTTTTTAAAAGTGCCAATACAAAGCACCAGTATTTGGCTACTGCAAAAACTTTTGCCTTCTGTAGGAGGTACCCAGGCTACAAATGTGTGCTTTGGTTTCTTTTTATTATTATATTTTTTTTTCTCCACACCTCTGTGGTTACCCTTGGAAATAGTTGCCATGGGCATTAGCAGAAAAATCCAGCATCACTCTTGGTCCCTGCCCAGGATAAATGAGACAGGCTGTGGTGTTCTGGTAGTGTGTTCAGTACTTGGTGCACTTGCAGCATGTGGGTTTCAAGGGAGCAAGGGCAGGAAAGTATCGGAGCTGGAGGCTGGTGGCCGTGGTGCAGGTGTGATTGGACACCATCTACCAGGGCCCTTCAGGGCTCTGCTGCTGTGAGGATGTTTGGGGCTGTCTCCAAAGAGAGGAACCACCTGAGAATCATCTTGATGGCTACCTACCCTCCCTTACTAAGGACAACAGATCTGAGCCCTGCTGCCTGACTGATGCTTGGGGGTCTCTCTGCTGGCACCAAAGCAAGGGATGGGCACAGAGCTCTTCTGCCTGGGAAAATGTGATAATGCTCAATCCTTTCCTCCTGCAAGACTGCCAGTCCCTCTTGCCCTGAGGAGTTTCCAGTTAGGAGCCTTCAGGGCTGTCTAATTCCCTGCATGATTTTCTATGTACAAATATACAGGATGTCTGGAAGGGGGTTAAAGTTAATTTAGACGTCTGGCTGTACTCAGCCCTCTAATTCTTGCCATTGCTTCATTATAGACTGTGTTTCATCTCCGCACTTCTCTAACGGATCTGAAGACACTCATTTTGGAGATAAAATACAGTTGCTTAAGGATAAATCCAGATACCGATCATGTTCCTGGAAGTCCAAATGGACATGAAGAGAAACATGAGCTTAAGGACAGAGATGAGGCTGCGATTTAATGGGCTTTGTGAGCCGTTGTCTCTGCCGGTTCTCATGCTGAAGGTTGCACACGTTTGTGTGTCCCCTGGAGCTGCCCTCGAGGCCAGAGCAGTTGCTAGTTGTAAAACCGGTAACGCTCTCACTGGGTAACTCGCTGCGGCTGGCAGTAAGCTCCCCGCTTCAGCTCGTTGTCTGTCCTCAGCGGCACGTCTGTATATATAGCCCTTAATCCAGCCCCCAAGACAACTTTCAGCAGTGTTTTTTCTCCTGCAAAACAACTAAAGCCCAATGGGATATTAATAATGATTGCATGCTGGACTACTTCAAACTTCTGCTGAGGCTGCATGGGCAAGAGGGTGGGTTAGGATGTTAGGATCACCTCTTCCTATCTTGGCCCTAATTCCTGGGTGCTGTCTTTTTTTTTAAGCTAAGATGTAGCTATTGTAGTATTACAATAGAGAGAATAACATAGGTCATGGTTGTACATAGGGTGTAGTAAAACAGTGGTGAAGGTGCTCTCAGCCTGGAGAGTCTTTGTGGTGGCAGTGGTTAGATAAAGACTGATTTCAGTTTTCCTGAATTTGCTGATTTCCCCCTGATTTGGATGGTATGGGATGCCCAGCCTCCCAAGCAAGCTTGGGTGATACCCCAGATAGCATGTTGCCAAGTTCAGCCCAGTTCTAGAAGCAATTACTTTGTCTTGGTGTGCTTGGTACAGGCTTGAACCTTTGTCACCGAAGACACCTTCTGTCTTTACCAAAATCTGCAAGACGGTGCCTTTTTCCACGCTTGAAGTTTTGATCTGCTGTCTTTGTTCCTTTGGGGTTTGCTTTGGTTAGAAATGAGGCGGGAATCTGTGTGCAGATTGATTTGGTTCATTTTAGAACCTAAAATTCTAGAAACCTAGGGTTTTTCTACAATGTCTACCTAACACTGTTTCAAATTAAAACTCTGATACATCTGTAGACAGCTCAGGTGTGAAGCCCTGGTTGGGTTGGGTGCTTCCAGACTGTCCTCTCTCCTCTAGCTGGGAGGTCAGAGCTGCTCCTTGAATATGAAAAAGAAATAATATATATTTTTAATGATTTCTGCTTCCCAGAAAGCAATGTTTAATATCAGCAAAATCTCCATGCCTGGTTAGTATATGATTTATGCAGAATATTTTTTCTGGTGCATTTTTGTCTACTTGCTCCTTGACAGAAGCATCTTGCTCCAAGAGCCTTGATGAATATGGAAGCTGTTTCATAAATGAAGCACTCCAGGAGTAGCAATGTTTTAAGAGGCTATTTTAGCCCTAGTATTTTCACAAGGCAACCCAGAGGCGCAGAACATCCATGCACGAGGTGTTTGTGACAAGCCATTGGCAGCAGTGTCCTTCAGGTGGCTTTGGTGTTGGGAGGCTCAAGCTGCACTCGTGCATTTGGGCTACACAGTCTTGAGCAATAAAAGCTTTTGCTACACGAGATGGCGCTCTTGGCCTTCCAAAAAGTCAAAATGAGTTTTTTTTTTTTAATTAGTATTTTATTTATTATATCTTATTTTATTTTCAGCAGTTTGCCCTCGTGCACACTTCAGTCGCTGCTTGTTCCCGCTGGCAGCGCCAAGCCCCTGTAGGCAGCCAGCTGGTCTCCTCCAGGGGCTGGTCCTTGGTGAGGATGGCAACTGGGGATAACGGGGGGTTTTCAATCCCTGCGAAAAGCCAGAGGGACAGAAAATGCACTGCCACCTCCTACAAACGGCCAGGCTCAAAAGTGCTTTTTTTTTTCTTTTTTTTTTTTGTTTTTTTTTTTCTTTTTTTTTTTTGTTTTTTTTTTTCTTTTTTTTTTTTGTTTTTTTTTTTCTTTTTTTTTTTTGTTTTTTTTTTTCTTTTTTTTTTTTTTTCCCTTAACTTTAAGACACTTTGGATGCACTCTTCTCCTCCACAAACATCTTGGGTGCTTTTCTCCTCCTTCTCCCCCTGCTTGGGCAGGATGAACCAGTAACAAGGGGCCACTGCCCTCCTGCCTGGAGCACGGGTGGTTTCAGCTGGAAAAGCGATATGGGAACGAACGGTGCCCTTTGCCAGGCAACATTAAAAATGCATGTGCAGGATGGGCTCTTCCAAATAAGTCCAGGAAGGGTGAATTCCTGCCTCCTCCCAGGCTCCCTGCCCTCCCCAGCTGGGAGCTGGTCTTACCCCCCCACCACTTAGACCCAGGAGGAGCAGCCACGCCAGCCTCCCGGTGCTGGACTCTGGATGCCAGGAGTGCAGGGTGGAAGGACGTCTCGGCGGGGAGGGTTGTGGGGTGAGGTGCAGGGTGCCCTGGCAGGGAGGGATGCAGGGATGAGCCTGGGGTGCTCCTGGAGGGAGGGATGAAGAGATGGCGGTGAGATGCCAGGTGGGATGTTGCGCGGGGCTTCCTGCCTCAAGGGAGGGAGGCAGCGGACCTTGGTGGGCTGGGACATGGGCTGCCCCTAAGAAGAGACATGGGGCCGCTGCAGGGAGGAGGACCGGGATGAAGGGTGCAGCGGGCGGTGAGCGCTGCGGGGCGGCGGGGAGGTGGCTCCACGTGGCTCATTAGCAGAAGGCAATTTAATATTTATGAAGTGCTCCCGCTTGAATCCCAAGTCTTCAGCTCCAGTTACAAGGAGCTGCGTCACCCTCCGATCACATGGTAGTTGTTGCTATTTCCAGGCTCGCAGCCTCGCAGAGTGGCACAAAAGCTTTCTCCCCCCAACCTTTTTAATTTTTCTTCCTCTTCGTTAATTTTTCCTCTCCGTTATTTATCTTTTTTTTTCCCCGGCCTCCCAGTTTCCCCAACTCGCTGGACGCTTTGGGGCCACTCGCTGCCGGGAAGCGCCGCGGGGAGGATGGAGCTGCCGCTGTGACCCAAGGGCGGGCAGGATCCATCCACCCTCCCACCCCTTCCCAGCGCTTCTCCTCCTCTCGCCGGGAGCCGGATCCGGTCGCTCCCTCGGCTCCTCTCTCGGGTCGCCTCAATGAAAACTCCCGGGCGATCTGCCGGGCGCTAGCGGCACGCGGAGCGCCCCGAGGCCGCGGTGAGGGGCTTTGCTTTCCTCCCGCCTCGCAAAATGAGCGAGCTGGAAGGGGACTTCACCAAGCTGCTGCTGCTGAAGGAGGAGCGCATCAAGGAGCTGGAGCGGCGCTTGGGCGAGAAGGATGAGGAGATCCAGGAGCTGCGGCGGCGGCTCCACAAATGCCAGTCCGTGCTGCCGGCGCCCAGCCCGCACATGGGGCCGCGCACGACCCGCGCGCAGGGCATCTCCGCCGAGCCGCAGACCTACCGCTCCTTCCACGACCTGCGCCAGGCTTTCCGCAAGTTCACCAAGGGCGACAGGTAGGACCCCGGCGCATCCTGACCCTTTTGCCTCCAGCGAAGAAACACCCAAAGTTTGTTTGTTTGTTGGGTTTTGTTGTTGTTGGGATTTTTTTTTTTGGGGGGGGGTGCAGCTCGGATATGGTCC